AGCCTGAAGGACAAAGACCAGGTGCAACAGCTGCGCAAAGACATCAGTAGTAGCCTACAGTCCATCAACAACACCCAGCTACCTGGAAAGTTAAAGGCCTGGTGTCTGCAGTTTGGTCTCCTACCCCGGGTGTTGTGGCCCCTAGCAGTGTATGAGGTTCCAATCTCAACAGTGGAGAAGATGGAAAGAGGAGCCACGAGCTACTTAAAGAAGTGGCTCGGAGTTCCACGATGCCTTACCACCATAGGCCTCTATGGAGATGGTGTCCTCAAGCTGCCCCTCACCAGTCTAACCGAGGAATTCAAGTGTGCAAAAACCAGGCTCCAGATGACACTGAATGAATCTCGAGACCCAGTGGTGAGCAACAACGCGCCGACCTTGGCAACTGGGCGCAAATGGAGGCCAGGAAAAGCAGTCCAGGAGGCAACAGCAGCCCTCAGACATGCTGACATTGTGGGTCATGTTCAGCAAGGGAGAGGAGGCCTTGGGCTAACTAGCCGTGCTGCTTGGAGTAAGGCCACTGCACCAGAGCGGCGGAAGATGGTAGTGCAGGAAGTACGCCATCAGGAGGAGGCTGCAAGGTGGGCCAAGGCAGTCTCTCTTGCCAAACAAGGACAGTGGACTCGATGGGACAGTGTGGAGAAGAGGAAGATCAGCTGGAAGGATCTGTGGGCCATGGAAGCGAGGCGGTTGAGCTTTTCCATCAGAGCAACATATGACATCCTTCCAACACCAGTTAATCTTCACCAATGGTATGGTGAAGATCCGGACTGTGCCCTCTGTTCCATGCCAGCCAACCTCAGGCACATTCTCACAGGGTGTAAAACAAGCCTCACCCAAGGACGCTACACTTGGCGTCACAACCAAGTCCTTAAAAACCTTGCGTCCGCCCTGGAGGACAAGCGAGCTGCCACCAACTCCCTACCACCCCCAGCAGCATCACACCCCTTACGGACGACCTTTGTCCGCGAAGGGGCTAAACCACCGAAGAGCGGCTCTACACCAATAGAGCGAGACCAGCTGCGCTTGGCCCGCGACTGGAAAATGCTAGCTGACATTGGCCGGCAACTTGTGTTTCCTCCGGAGATCGCAACCACCACCCTAAGACCTGACATGGTGCTCTGGTCCAGTTCGCTCAAGAAGGTCTTCATCATTGAGCTCACAGTACCCTGGGAGGACTCAGTAGATGAGGCTTATGAGCGAAAACATCTGCGCTATGCCGATCTAGCTGCCGAAGCACGGCATCATGGCTGGAACACAGAAGTCCGACCAGTGGAGGTGGGCTGCAGAGGTTTTGTGGCAACATCTACAACCAGACTGCTTAGAGACCTGGGAATTAAGGGCCAGAGCCAGCGTTCGGCAATCAGAGCTGTATCGGAGGCGGCAGAAGGCAGCAGTCAGTGGCTCTGGATGAAGAGGAAAGACCCCAGCTGGGCCCCAAAGTGAGTGGGCCAGGAGGTATGCAGTCCACAATGCTTGACTCAGGGAGGAGGACGCCCCTGCCATGCATAGTCCCATGGGATGTTGGCTATCAACAACAAGGCAACTCCTATGACTAATTGGGAATGGGACGCAAGCGTAGGATTGATCACCCTGTCGCTGGCCGCCTTTGGAGAGGGTGTATAGTATGAAAGGCCGAAACACCCTAGGAACCAAAGGGTCACTACTGACGATGCGCTCCCCAAATTTCACCAGGCTCACTGTTCATGAACTCTTGGAAGTGCTTGCACAAAGGATAGTAACATCTCATCCTGTGTTCTTTGGAATCTGTTAGAAAGTTACCCCATTTGATCCATACATTATTTGGGTAGGTGAAATACGTCGATGCCATACCCTCTCCCACAGAATAGATAAAGTGATTGAATACGGGATAAAGAAAACCTCTTCCACAGCAGAGATAAGTAAGGCGAATGAGCCCTGTGTGCATGACCGCATTGCCCGAACACAGTTGAAGTTTCCCTGCCTTGTTTAACCCATCATGAGTGGAGAATTGCCCACACTCTATTATGCGTGCACCGAGTGTGACGTAGCACGTGTCATAACTGGAAACAAGGATACGCTATGTGGAAGGGTTTTACCTTGAATTTTGTCTGAAACATTATTGTGAAAAACACTTTTATGAACCTGTGGGACCTTTAAATTAACTGGTCCATATGAATACAGTGATTTGAGAAGAAATTATTGCAAATGAGTGCTCCTATTTTGTTAACCTCGTTTTGTAAAAAATAGTTATTTAGCAAGTAGTGCATTATGTATATTTATGGCAAAGAATGTAGCTGTGATGTAACCCAAATAGTTGATGTAAAATTTTCATTAACATATTTAATATTTCAATGCTAGGAGCAGTCGTCAGCTTTGCTGTGATCTTTGAAGCTGGTTAACTTCATGCAGTACAGGTAGTCCTCTACTTACGATGGAGATGCGTTACGACGACCTCATCGTAAGTCATAAATATCGTAAGTTGAAGATGGCCTCGCCTACCCAGGAGTCTTAAAGAATGGTTATAATTTAGCAAAACAGAGCAATTTACAGTATCGTACTGTATAAACTATATACTGTGTATTTATTAATTACAATACTTTATTGCACAGTAAAATGTAAAGTAAAAAAACATGGTAAATTTTTAGCCTACTTATATGAACTGCAATTTAATAGAAAAAAATTTCAGAAAACAATCCTATCTGCTATAAAAACTTTTAACATGCATTGAACGTATCGTATCGTATCATTGTACTGTACTCGCCAAGATTATGTCTGTCGTCTGCATACTTGCGTTTGCCTGCCGCTCGAAATTTAAAATATTTAACAATTTTGTCGTATCGCCATCGTAAGATCGAAATCTCGTAAGTCGGACCATTGTAACTCGGGGACTATCTGTAATTTTTTTTCTCAAAGTCCAAGTTTAACCAACACGTTGAGATGACATTTCTCAACAGTCACTTATTTCTGTAAGAGTTGAAACTGATGCACGCAGGCAGCACGCATTTCACGAGCTTGTATGTAATAATGACACTATGCATGGACATTATGTAACTTGCCAACCGTCAATAGGAATAATTTTGATACCATTGCTCACCACAGAGCATTCAACCTAAATTAGAAAGCTTATGAGTTGGGGTAGCTGCTGCTCACTTGCCACAATATTGCATGCACCGAGTCTTGTGTCTAGACTGTGGCTCCCATTGTAAGAATGTGGAATTTCCACAGACTCAATTAACCTCCTTCTCACATAATGTGAGCAATGCTCAGCCGAGCCAGGGGAACCGCTTAGGCTTGACTATAGAGATAACCTCAGCATTACTGCCGAAGCCTGTAAAATTAAACTTTCCTGCACGTAACTTTTTTGGAATACAAAAAAAAGCATCCCATTTTAAACACTACAACTTTTACACTATGAGATCTCTTTTACCAGTGGCAAAATATAGCAGTAGGTTTTTACCCTTTTAAACTGGTACAAAACTGACACCTTTATTCAAGGCATCATGTTTGCAATAACCACAACACAAGTAGTCAAAAAAGCAAACAAAAAGAAGCAACTCTGATAATGATAATAATATGCACTGTCCTTTAAGTTGATTGGTCCACACCCGAGACGGTTTTCTTTAGAGCCTAGTCCCCATTGGTGTTGGACCAGATGACACCAGAAGGCGTACAACTCAAACCTTGAATAAAGGTGTCAGTTTTGTACCAGTTTAAAAGGGTAAAAATCTACTGCTGCACTACAACTTTGTTGATACTATTCTACAGCACAGTAACATATTGAGTTACTTAAAGCAATCACGCCTCATGAAACACTATCAGTTAGGAAGGTCCGAGATCACAGACTCCACTTTCTCTTGCTTGGACAGCCGAGCCCAACGGGTGTACGTGAACACAGCAGGGATCTGGACAAGGCCGTGCATCCATATTGTCCAATGAGAAATAATGAGATATTTGAAAAGTTAATTATGTTTTAAGTATATAAATGCAGTACATGTCCAGTAACTAAATTGTTACCTTTAATTATTCCAGCTTTTTAACACCTCCATGCTGTCACTAAAAATTACACCTTGTAGTCTTTGTCTCATCAAGCCAATAAAATATCATCAGTGATGTTGCTTATGCTAGACCCACATGCAGGGTTCGTTTGCCAGTGCGGCAGAACAAGATACATGGAGGGGACAAAAACTATTGTTGTAAGAAAAAATGAAAAAATATACAGTTGTACTATTTAACTTCTGCTTAAGAATTATTGTGTTCACTTTTCTGTAGCTATATGACGTTTCTGGCCGAGATGCAGCCATGCAACTCCAAACTCCACGTTCTTCAAACTGTCTAATTCGCTGGTCTAGTATGTTCCGAACTTCCCCGCTGGTTGTACATGGTAGATAGCCCCTTGACCTCCACTCACTGTGCAGTAGCTTATCACATCACTCCCATCCCTACTTAACCCTTCTGTACACCTAAAAGTACTTACACCCTCTCTCCGCTATTCTCTGATATTGCGGTGTAATCACTTCATGAGGTCATTAATACAAATTTACGAAAGAAGCAAAATAGTTAATAGGGCAATTTCTATATATACAAAAAATATAAATCATCAACCTTCCTAAGTTAATATTTTAGGTCCACCAACATAATGGCTTTGGAAACCATCAATTAGCTCTTGGTTTGTGTGTGTATGTATGGCGTATATTGTATAATTCCCAACAGCAATTCGTCAAGATATCAATTGCAGCACTTTACATTGATTACAGTTAAGAATGAATTCTCAGTTTCACATCACCCTTGCAGTATGGTCACCATTGTCATTGCCACTGTTTTGTTGGTACTCTAAGGTGGCGTTTTACCCAGTGAGTTTAGGATACTTTGCGGTGTTTGTAACACAAGTACAACTTAATGGAATAAATCCGTCTCCGGTGGAGGAGTCTCGTATGTGCAACTCATACTACTAAAAAAAGACGAGCACCTTCTCTTGCTTGCCTGCGACAAGCCACTGACTTTTTGTTTTTTTTCGTCAGTGAGCGACACCTGTTCCCGGCAGGCAGCGGAGGATGCCAGCGGGAGGAATCTGCAGGACCTGGTCCAGTCTGTGTAAGTAGAGCAAGCTTCTGAGTCTACCTTGCACCTGGTCCACTGCTCTACATTATGGTAGGGGTGGGAACTTTTTCGTTACCAGGACTTAAAAAATACCTTTGGCGATGCAAGCATTAACCCATACCTTAATATTATCCAATATGAGCACTAAAAATAATGAGGGCTCACCTTTACCGGTGACGGAGCTTGCTAAAATTATAAACAGATTGTTGCCGTATACAACATTCCCCACTCTAGTGTGGCCAGTATTCTTGCAGCAATGGGGAATCATTTTGCAGGCAATTAGAAAGTGGTAGACATCATGTGGCTGCATGCCGCACGAAGCGAGGTTGTGGGCCACATTTGCTGCAGGTAGAAAGGCAGCCTCAAAAAACATGATTTCTCTCTTTGGTATTTATTGTATTTGTAATATCCAAATGACCATATGCAGTTTTGATATATCGTTTGGTTCACCGGTACATAAACAGAGATGAATTTTGCTACCAAAATGAGTGTTGCTTACATTAATTTTTCTTTTGCTTTAAGCTACATTTCTAAATGTTGTTCTTTTTTACCCCTTCCTGTAGGCTGGCAGGGACTGTATCGGCGTACAAAATAGTCCCCGATGAATTTGAGCAAATTAAGGTAACTTGATAAAAACGTCCTTATTAGCCGTGTTTGTAATGCAGTATTTGTAGTTTGTAGTAAAGCATCTCATGACATGTTCCAGTTCACCGTCGGCTATGCCATGATGTTAAATATCACCAATACGGGTGCTTTTAAGTCATTTACTTATTGATCGATCTTCTCTTGGAGAACCGTTGAGGCTTTTCGTAATGCAAATCCAGGACGTTGAAATTATGGAGACTTTGATGTGATATTCAACAAGGGATCCAACAATTTTTTTTATTGAATCCTTTGTAGTGTTCTAAATAACATTCCAGCTATTTGCATCGTAATGTTTTTGCTGGACAGTTTTTAAAATGTATTTCATTGAAATAAATCCCATTTTAGTGTAATGCTGCTGTTCATATTCTATATTTGCTGTGTTAATGTTTACATCATTTTAAATGAAACACATTAATTGTATTTGTACACACCCAAAAGACTCCCGATACAGGTACAGCATTTACCTGAAGGTGGAAAAGAGTTTAGAATAATCTAATGAGCAGCAATAATTAAGATAATTACCACGGATTCCCTGCTAAGGCCTCTGCTCCAAGCTGTATGGGTGTTGCTGTCAGCACCATGTACCACTCCTCACATGTAATTCTACTGCACGACCATGTCAAGCGGTTCATCCCCATGTGTTGTGTGTGACGCACGTGTGTCTCCTTACCTGTGCACAGGGTGCTCTGGTGGAGTGGTGCGACCGCGAGGAACTTAACCTCATCCTCACCACGGGTGGCACAGGCTTTTCCCCACGCGACGTCACGCCAGAGGTGATTCTAGGCGTGCTTTGCTATGCAACGTCGTCCTTCTTGCGAAATTGAGATGTCCATGTGTTCCAGTCAATTTGTACAACGTTTATACGAATTTCTTGAAGCACGGGCCTTGTGATTAGTTAACATGACACATTGTGGTTGTTTAAATGATCAATTGCCATTTTTATATTATACAGAACAGTGTTGCAGTATTTGTGATTGTGGTAATAAAAAGGTGTGTCACCCACCTGCTCAGCGGTCTCAACAGCCAGTCAGGAGTAAAGCACATTAAATACCAGTAATTTATTAAAAACTTGGGAGCAGAGGCCATTTTAATTGGCGAACACAGGCTCCCCCCACCCCTACCAATTGTTTAACACTCACTGGAGGGTGGAGACCATATGCAGCTGTATTCAAGCTGGTAAGCCCATGATGTCATTGTTTTTGTGGCAATGGGATGAGGTTCCTCCACCACCCTTTCCCCACAACCTGGTGTTAATAGGAGTCATCAAATGTACCCAAGAAATTCTCTCATCATATTCCCAGGACCATTATGACAGGAGGTGCTGAACAGTTCACTGCAAGAGTTACAAATGGATTTATCTGTCTCACGACATGATGCCTGCATAAAATTTGGAAGGTGATATGTAAAATGTTATTAGGAAGGGCTGTTACATGAGGAATTTGTAAGCATTCTAGGAACCACCAAAACTGCTTTGCCACCTAAATAATTAATGTCGCCACTCTACATATTATTGATTAATTGAAGTTGCTCAAGAAATTATTGCGGTTGTTTTGATGAGAAAAATTTAATTTTTGCAGGGGGGAAATGAAGAGCTTTGCATATCCTTGATGCTTTAGAGCATAGTTTTATCTTGGGGCCAAATATTGTTTCGCTAATACACGGTCAATTATAAAGTAGTTTAACATGTAGGCTTTCACGACCAATATTATCCATAATAGAGGTTTTTGAGTTAGATTCTGGCTGTCACCTGATGAGGCTGGTTGTAATTACCGGTGAAACATCGTACTTGAATTGTAAATGTTGCCGGTTTACTCTCCAACACACCGATGTGCTCAAATAGTAACTAATTGGCATGTTTTGTTTGTGATAACTCTTATTAACTGGCTGTGTCCAGTGGCGACAGGTTTTACGACAAATTTATATTTACGTGATCTAACCCAAAAACCTTGCATGCATGAAATAAATGTCACTTTTTGTCTGTCTTTCTGTGTGTATACACACCCTTGTAACGCTTTTAACTGACAAACTGTGGGGTAAGTACCCATATAACACGCGATATGCCCCGGGACGAAAAAGCACTATTTGTATAGAGTCTGCAGATACTACTATGGAGTTAGTAGTTACTACTATAGTCAGTAGATACTACTGTAGCGTCATTAGATACTACTAGAGATTCAGTAGGTACTACTATAGTCATTAGATACTACTGCAGAGTCAGTAGTTACTACTGTAGAGTATATAATACTACAGTCAGTAGATTCCACTACAGTCAGTATATACTGCTGCAGAGTGCATAGATATGACTATAGAGTCAGCAGATACTGCTACAGTCAGTAGCTGCTGCTATAGAGTTAGTAGTTACTACTATAGAGTCGGTAGATACTACTGTAGGGTAAGTAGATACTACTACAGTCAGTAGGTACTACTGGCCTCAGTAAATACTACTGTATTGTCAGTAGATACAACTACAGTCAGCAGATACTACTATAGTCAATCGATATTACTATAGAGTCACTAGATACTACTCTATTGTATGTAGGATGTGTAGGTATATATGCCTACGCGGGGGTAAACATTTTTTTAGGGGGGTCGACAATTTTTGGAAACCTTTAGAATCAACTATTTACCTCCCACTTTCTATAACTTTTTGGACTACTGCAAGTCTCTTATAATTATGTTGACGGACAAATGGACAGACATATGGAACGCCGGGCTTTCACAATAGCTTAGTATTTGTGTATGTATATTTTATGTTTTTAAGAGAAGTTTTGAAATATATTTTTCCCCCGGGCAACGCCGGGTACTTCCCGCTAGTAGTTAATAAAACTTGGTAGCCCAGAATGTTAACAGGTAAAATTCTTTGTGGCACGCAATAGCTCGTATAGGGATCAGGAATGTTCATTAAACATAGTGCTTACATTTATGATAATTTGTTTATTAATTGCTTTTAAGTTGTTAAAATGTTGCAATTATTAAATGCATATTCAATGTATTTTAAAAGGAGGTTTTATGGGGAGTTGTCAAGAAGGATTACCTGAGAATCATTTCTGACAAACACAATACAAATTACATCCCCTTGCAGTGGTTAACATGGTGCTATTATGAACCTGACAACCCAAGTTAGATTCCTTCAACCTACACAGGCCAGCGTGGTGATGCATGGTCGAACCGCCAAGACCGAGACAGTGTGGGGAGGCCTTTATTGAGTAGTAAATGGACAAAGGGCTGTAATTTCAAAGACAATAAAGCATCTAAAGAAGCCATTGTAAAAAGGGCACAGTAACAATTTTGCAAGTACAATTAATAATGGATAGGTATAGTTAAAAAAAATGTATTTACAAAACAAGCAGAGATGGTGTTAGGTTTCAAATAACTAAACCCATTTTACTTTTTCACAACCCGTAAATTTTTGTTGTAGTCCCTTCTGTGCCCAAAGCGTATCCATTTATACCCAAAATACTGCTGGATACTAACGCATGTTGTAATTCATAGGCCTCAGACTTAGCGGAATCCTTCGGCTCTCCTATAACTGCTCAAGATATCTCTTTAACACCTACGCATCGAAGATGTTCTGACCACATAAGTATAAGGATACCACAGGGAAACCCCCCACATCTTTATGAATGTCTGTGGAGATTCCTTTTCATGCTGCGATTGGTTGGCTCCATTCTGTTATATATTGCATCTAGTTTGTGCAATTTCCGTGATTTGCATGCTGCTATGGTAAGAGCCCGCAAATGAAAGCTCGCAAGTTCAAATCCCTGACATGTGTTGACTCGGCCTATCATTTCTTTGGGATGGTGTGCCTCATCAACATTACTTGACCGTTGGAGAGACTGGCTCTTTCCATAAAAAAGTAAAGTTTTACACCTTTTGTCAATGAGCAAAACACATGTCAGTTTATTGTGGAACACATCTGGTCAGAGATATCTATTTCGCTTATCCCATCTCTGAAAGAAAAGAAAATTTGATTGTTGGAAGAAATGACCATCAGATATTAGGACGATTTTTGGGGTTTTGAACTTTAACATTTTTTTGACAGGTTTAGATTCCACAGGAGCGCTTTGGTTATAATGTTCAACAAATCCGAAGGTTGAGAGTTAATGTGCAGGTAGAAGATCGACTCAGCCCAGTTTTTTTGGTGTCAAGAAAATGAGCAACGCAATGTAAAATCGGTTAAAGTCCTGTGGAGTGACGAATACCAACCACAGGAATGTGGAGTTTAAACCATGCGCTCAGGGCGGCTCATGGAAATAAGCATTGCTGCCGTGCGTGTCTGAACATAGGAGACAAATTCCTGGTAACTTAAGGGCGATTGTTCAGAATGTCACATGAAGACACATTCGGCAGATAGAATTGTTGTGGCCAGAGAATAAAGGTTGTCGATTTGTCTTTACTGCGTTCAAGGCCACACGGGATGTGATTGAGCGCGAGGCTCCAGGCATGGCTGTGGCGATGCTAATGGGTTCCCTCAGCATAACGCCCTTGGCTATGCTCTCAAGGTACGTATATTGTAAAATGTTTTGTTCCACGGATGGCCCAGTGCTTATGTTAAAGCCAAGCCACATTTAAAATTCATTAAAAAGACATGAGCCAACTTAGGGCAGAAGACAAGGGTACAGAAAACAAACTTGCAGAATATCCCAACCACTATCTCATAAAAACACTCAGTTCTCTCAAAATCGTAATCTCAAATCTTGTCGACTTATGAAGAAACACCCGTTATCCTGGCATTTCTACGGTCCAAGGTCTGGATTTTGTTCACCCTCAGGTTCAAAGCAACCAGTCTCCTCACTTCCACCCAGCTCCACACACTGGGTAAAACATAATTTTACAATATATTATGAACAGTCTAGCACTATACTGGGTTAATGTATATTCTTCTTTGATATTCTGTCACCCCTTCCAACACTCATGTTCTGATTCACGCACGTCAGCCCCTTACTCTCGATATCAAAACAAAGACTGCATCAGCGAATTTTGGATACAGTTTGCATGAATGACGCTGTACAAAATGATTTTTATTTCCCTACAAGGTCACTACAGGGCGATATGCCCTATAGATATCACACATTGACCTTATGAGTCCCAATATATATCACGCAACATTCACAGTAGCTCCATAGGCCTACACATTTTTTCATTTTCACCTCTATTGTACTGTTTGTCTCCAAACAAATGCTTTATAACCTATACACGTGTAATGTAGCTTTCAGAGACACCGTCTTGTTATATATATTTATTCATGAATAAAGTCCGCCGACTCACTGATATTTTAACGGGTAACCGCGAGGTGACTATATACAGCTGGGTAACTTTTGTGACTCTACGCGACGCTCCCTATGTAGTTGGCTGACTACATAGGATTGGACACGTAGCAGTCACGGATACAATATGTAACTCCAGCCTTCCAAGACTATAAGGTGCCCGATCCAAGATGATGAAGACGACGGTTTCTTGATTCCGCCACAGCAGCCCAGAGCCCTGCTCCATGCCAGCTTTTATCCCACTCCTGGGCCCGGCCACACCCCTTTTCCTGAACTCTCTCAAACCTCATCTGGGCCTGTCCGTCACTGTCTCAATTATTATTTACGACCAATTAGGTCCCGTGCTATCCTTATGTGACCCTGTCTGTTCCCTGTGCGTCAATTATTAACCACGGCCACCAGGCCCCTACTGTCCTTACACATGTAAAGAAGTCATTTAAAACTACAGGCTACTTCAGAAAGAGTCCTCGCATCTTTTGAAGACCAACGAGCGGTGTTCACCAACCCACCAGCAAAGCAGGCAGAGAATCACCAGCTGCAACCAAGTTATGTGGCTCTTTTGTAGGTTATCCCTTATATAGGCCTCACTGGGTATAGCCCACCACATTTATTCGATCAGTGGCTGCTTTCACTTCTCCTTAATCAAACAATGAGAAGCTCACACACAGACTTGGTCATGCACCTCGATTAGCTAGAGTATACAAACCTGTCCAAACCGTCTCAGGCCCCTGTGCTCAACCCTTTGACAAGTTTGATTAGATCACCTGAGCACTCGTCAAACCACGTTGTGATAGTGGCAAAGATTTTTACTCCGACTTGTGCTTTATTGCGTTTAATATAATGCTGTACATTACTGGTGGTTTTAGCCACAACATAACAAAATCAAAGTGTAATTGTGATTTTCTTTCTGCATCGTTGGTGTGGGTGTGCGAGTGGTGCCAACTTCTCATGTCATCCCTCTGTAGGCCGGTGTGTGGGATCCGAGGAAAGACTTTGATTATCAATCTTCCTGGCAGCAAGAAGGCATCCCAGGTGGGCATATGTGTCTGCCATATGTGTCACCAGTGGTTTCCATAATACGTTGATTAAAGAAATCTATTTAATGGACAGAGTATTCACTAGCAGCATGTGGCAGCAGTTTCATATAATTAGAGGTAATGCATTGGATGAGCAAACACTTATGGGAAGATTACCTAAGTGTGAACACTTGCAGAATCCCCGAATAGGAGTTATAAAAGGTTTCAGTTTGGTGTTTTAACATCTTAACACCTGTTTGTTGCCAGAATGAAGGGGAAAACCTATTCTCAGGAGTTAGAATGTTACACTGGGAAAAGCAAACCATGGCTCAATATAGTGAATTGTATTACATTGTTACGGAGCTGATATGCGATGCTATAAAAGGTGCAACTTTGCATTATCTCTAGCTTAGACTTTGACAAATCGCCAAAGTCAACGCAGGTCAAATATTTACGATTAAATATATTTTAACTTGTTCAGATACACATCTAAACTTTTTATGTGCCTCAAGGAGGAGACTTTAAACAGTTGCAGCTCAAATTCAGTTTTAGAGAAGTATTCGTAATGTCTCTAAGCAACTCCCCTCAGGATTATTTCCTGCTATACAATATGAAGACCTGAGAGATCATTTTCTATTTTTTTTCTTCAGATTTTAGATGGAATAGCATATTTAATTGTACTCAATTTTAATAACCTTCATTGTTTTTGCACTGAATTAAACACAATTGTAAATGAGTAATTTTATTTAATTCTTCAGTAAAATAATCATTAAAAACTTTTTTATCATTAAAAGATTTGAAGACAAGGTCAATCACAAAAGTGACCACTTCTTGTGAAGTAATATTTTGGGGTCAATCTGGGAAAAAAATACTCCTGAACGTCCAAAATGTCTCATCTAGGCTTTATTTTTGGATTGAGTTATTGGTAAAGGCATGAACAGATTTAGTTATTAGTCTGTGTATGTTAGATTCGGTTACACACTAAAACCCCATGAAGAATCCGTTCTGGCGGAATGAATGGAGTCAACAGATCACCTAATAAACTGTCAACATTGGGTTCCTTCGTCCCATTATGGGTAATTTGCACATTTTCGTGCCAAAAAATATTGATTGCAATTCAAGGTTTTTTTTCCTGGCATAAGTTCCACGCTGAAAAGTAGAGAAGCAATAGTATATCATCTATATTTGTTTTGAACATCCCATTTAATTATCTTCATAGTTTGGGCAAAGTGGGGTGTTTTTTTACCACCACTTAACTATAAACATTATTTAATTTGGTGCGACTATATTTAAGCACAAGTAAAACTATTCTGCAATCAAAAAGTGTGAGTGGTAGACAACTAGCACGCTCGTGTTGTCATGACAAACCAGTAGTAATACATCTGTCAGTCGTGCCAAAAGCTTGTGTTCTTTCCATAGCATGTTCCTCATACGCAGTGGAAATTAAACAAAAAGCACACTTTTCTATAGTGTGGAAACTTTCTGACGAAAGGGCATTAACATTTATGTTTTAAATTTGTCTGGCATCAGTTTCATCACATCTAATTTTGCCATGAACTTTAAAATGCATTGAGGGGTAAAAATGTATCTGGATTTCATTTCCAGAATTTTATAACATGTTCAGGTGCAAAATATAGGCAAGGCTTTAGCCCTCACCGTACAATCCAAAACTTTTTTCAACTAAATTGTGCACACCTGGTAGGTTTTGAATCCATATCCATGAGCTGTTTGCCAGTGGCTTAAAAATGAATTCTTTCCATGAGAGAGGGTGTTATATATGTCACATTGCAGCTGCAAAAAAATCACACCCACTCACAAATACCCTGATTTTTTCACTTCCCCTGTTGCTATTACTTCATTATTACTTTGTTTATTCTCCCTTAACTGACATTCCATCATCAGTGTTAACCATCACTCTTTTGTTGGTGTGTTGTTCCCGTTCCAATTGTTTTTTCTGTGGTTTGGATCTGCAAATCTAACTTCTACACTTGGTGAGATATTGCCAAATTTGTCAAATACCATACCGTACAATACAATTTTGCCAGCATAATATTTGGGCATGTGTGCACGATATGTTTCAGTGGGTGTGCCTTCATGACTTTGTTTACATGTGTTCCCGTGTCTTTATTGCTACTGCTGCGGCGCTATGTTCAGGAATGCTTCCAGTTTGTGCTGCCAGCCTTGAGCCATGCGGTGGACCTCCTTCGCGATGCCAGCGTGCGGGTCAAGGCTGTGCACCAGGAGCTCGCAGGGCAGGTTCACAGCATCACCAGCCAGTCGGGACTGCCTGACAAGGCCGTGCAGTGTGAAGGTCACGGAGAAGGCCAGCATTCAAGCCTACCACCTCGAGAAGTAAAATGCTTACCCCACCTTCACATGTATCCAGTTACCAATGCTACTTTGTCTCAAAGGGCTCTCACCAAATTCTCAATAATCGTTGAATTAATGGCTGCTTAATTGATATGGCCTTCATTGCAGTAAGCTGGGTAACACTGTGTGTCATTATGCAAATATAAGCATAATGCTTCTATTTGCAATAAATGTACACGGTTTCAGTGACTGTCACTAAATTGGGCAGTACTTCTATGGCTGTATTGAAATTATCAGCCAGCAAGGGTGTACTAGTACTGTTATTCGTTTATCATATGTAATATTCCGAAGTATTATATGTGAGCTGGTCAGTGATTGTTATCAGCAGATTATGTTTTGAGTTCCTTTTTGAACTATGGGAACATTTTGCCAAGGAGAAAGAGGCTGTCTCTAAAAATATTCTTCTCTCACAGCTGGTATAGCCTGTGTTCAAGTCAAAGGGAATCCCAACTTTAGCAAGCAGTGGGGCAACACTCATCCCCATTGGCATCGAAGAGCCAATGCTGTAAATTACAGATTTTCCACGAGAGGGACCAGTCTATTTGTAAGGTGACCAGTGCAGTTGCATTTCTTGAAAATAGGCATATAAGTTAATATAAGTTATACAAATGCACTGAAATACTTTTATGATTAAACATATAAATGCTATATTGTCATCACCAATTCCTCACAAGTTATTGAAGTCAAGACATGTGCTACAGGAACTCCCATGGGCAGCAGAGCATCACACATCACATTTGAGAATGACCCTAGACGATGACTGCCATAGATCCACTTATATATAATGGAGCTCTGTTTATCCATAGCAATTATTGTAGGGTTTTAAGATTGTTTATTCTGTTTTTGAGATAGCCGTCCAGGATTGGGCATTGACATAGCCCACTTTTTATCCAGGCAACCGGAGAGATATTTCTTGACTTATCACTATAAAAACAAAAAAATAGATTTATTTAAGAATACACAAATAAAAATAATAATAATAATAAGGGCATTCGAAGGATAAGTGAAGATGTGGATAAAGAGAAAACGGGTTAGTTGCAGCCCTGTAAAACATTGCACGGCTCGGCGCTTGAGTGGCATTCAAAACGTGGAGCGGGATACCTAAGTTTTTCGACAGGAATGTCGTTTTGCCTGCTGCAGTCCTGTACCTAAAGGTTTTGGTGAAAATACCATGCATGTGCTGTACCATACATTGGTGTAGTGCATGTCCTCTACAGTCTAAAAATTAGACCTACAATTGTAATTTTAAAAGTCCATGTTTGGGCTCTGGGCTCTACCCGTACAGACTCCATTCCATGTAATGCACTTCGCTTTGCACACTGCTTCCATGCATACATTATGACCCAGCACGGAGCGTGCTCAGGCCGAACCCGGAGCCAAAACAGCACATGCCATCTCGGTTCTGGCTCTATTTTGGCTGTGTGAGATCCACTTTGGGTATTATGGCATGCTTCACTTAATGTCCTCCAGTGAGCTCCACGAGTTCATTTTTTTTGGTAATTATTGTAAACCATGGCCAGTGCGGTTAATCCACAGCACCAGGTTCCACTGTAGTTCCGTCCATAAATCTCATCTAAGCAACCACTACATGGCATGTCTTCCGAGTGATTCAACACGTGTAATCTGTCAAAACCGTTTTATAGGTTAACACTCAAGAGCTGAGTTAGGCCAAATTTTGTAAAAACAAATGTTTTCCCCCCCTACAAAGTCATTGAGGACCAGGCTGAGATAATTAATGAGCTTGCACTCAAGAGCCTGATTTTACTCTGGGAGGCTGCCCACATTCAAACTGTTTCACTAACACCATCGTTTTCATTGTTTTCACTAACACTGGTCTTTTTTATAGCTCGCTCTGTTTACGAGCCAAAGCCACTGGTAATTTGTGTACCCTTTTCGCTTTCCAATAACGAACCAATATAATTTGCGCTATTAGGTAGTTTTTTTTCCAAATACAAAGTGCTTTCCTGACCCTCGACATGCAGGTTTGGGTTAAAAAAAAAGCAATTTATGAAAATGCCCCTATATCTGGGGAACCCAAAAACAATTATTTTTCTAAGCAGAAACATATACTAAAATAAATGTTTCAAATTTCAACTTTCTAGCCCTTCTACAACATATATAGAATTGACGTTACTCTCATGAGTCACTCGAGACCATCTCTATAAAATAAGTGTCCTTTGCATATATGTATAGTACCGAATGATATACATACCTGTACAATACATTTGAAAATGTGTTTGCATGACTGTGATAATGTAATATTCGATTTTTTTGTAATATGGGGTGCTCAACAGTAAAATATAATAATGTCATTTGTATTGCAGCCACGGATCCCTTCCTGCAGCAGAGTGCATGCCCCTCAAGGTAAGCAGCCTGGGAATTCCACCTGCAAAATAAACCAATGTCATGGAAGCTACATTTGGGAAGAATCATTGTGTATTCTGTAGATTACTTATTGCTAGCTTATTTGGCTATCGTCTTTTAATACAGTAAACCCATAATATTCATCAGGATACGTTCCCGGAGAACAGTGCGAATATTAAATCCGCAAATATTAATACTTAAAGCTTATGAGGAAAATAGGGTTAGGTGGCATAAACATATTACACTAGCGGGAAGTACCCGGCGTTGCCCGGGTCTTAAACATATTTCAAAACTACTCTTAAAAATGTAACAGCAGTGCGTACTGACTGTGTTGGTACCTGCTATAATTACAGCAGTGTATACTGTGGTGGTACCTGCTATGATTACAGCAGTGCAATACTGACTGTGGTGGTACCTGCTATGATTGCAGCAGTGCATACCGAATGTGGTGGTACCTACTATCACTACAGTAGTACATGCTGACTATAGCAGTATTTATCGACTTTATAGCACAAAGTACTCACCTGACAGTGGCATGGTGAGGCCTAGTCCCATACAGAGCCTCTGGCCTCGCTTAGATTGTCCAGCCGGCCGAGGTGGCACCTTGGCAGGCTGGGGCTGGTCTGCTACCTCTGACTCCTCATCCCCCCCCCCCCAGGCACGATGTCCCCGGCCGCTCTGCAGTGATATCTACGACCTATAGTGGTAGCATCTACCGACTGTACAGTAGTAATAACTGCATGCATCGGGGTGGGGGGACATGAGACAGTGAAGAATTAACCTGAGTGTTTAGTGTATTTTTATAGGATTTTTAACGCGAAAGAAAATGTTCCCCTCCCACCGAAGGCATGCGACTTGGCTATGGGCCGTCCTCCCCACCAAAGTCGTGTGAGTTGGTATGGTCGTGCACGCGTCGTAAATAAATAAATAAGAAGAAAGCGCACAGAAATCGCACTAAATCACTAATTAAATAAATTTAAAGTTGACATGTGAAAAAGGAATAGTGCTTTGCTTCCCGGCAGAGCTTACGGCGTGGTACCTGGCTATTTTTTTACGTAAACCCCACCGTTGGAGAGCCAAGCGCGCGACCATACACAAATCCCACCACAAACAAACCCCGTCACAAACCCACACACAAACCCCGCCACAAACCCACACACAACTTTTGACTTTTATATTTATAGATTTTTAAAACATATAAACTGTATGTCTATATGAATGAATACATATGTAGTGGGTGTTGATAGCATTATACGCGGTCACCGCTACTTACCTGGTGTGGCGCCAGCCATGGGTCAACAGGGGGTGAGTACGGTCTGTATTAAGTAACGCCGTTAGGCCAGAGAACCCAGAGGGCGGTTGGGAACCGGAGGTATACACCCCAGGCCCCCAGTGGGGGCTGGGGGATTACGCAATAGTCCAGGTCCCTCCAGAAGGTTCCAGAGAGTAGGCGTGGCCAGGGGTGGAGTGACTCTGGTAGCTGTATATAAGGCGGACCCCTGAACAGGTTTGCCAGTCGTCGTCAAGCTGAAGACCCGAAGAGCCAGCCTAGCATAGGACCCTGGGAACCCCCAGACCCGCCGTCCTTCTAAAGGCCGGGACTGAGTGGGCCAGTGGTTGGACCCTGGGAGCCCCCAGACCCGACGTCCTTCTACGGGCCGGGACCGAGCGGGTCAGTGGCCGGGACCCGAGGACCTTGGCTGGGTCGGGTCAGCTAGCCTCTCCCCTAGGTCCCACTAGCTGGAGGGTTGATATATATAGAGGAAGTGGTCCCAGTGAGTGGAACACGCTAGCCCGGAGGCTATATCTCTCCAGGGTATCGGGTGGAGGGCCGATACCCCTTTGTGCCAGGGACCTCGTGTTATAGTTATTGTTATAAATCAGGGGTCCTCAAACTTTTTAAACAGGGGGCCAGTTCACTGTCCCTCAGACCGTTAGAGGGCCGGACTATAGTTTAAAAAAAACTATGAACAAATTCCTATGCACACTGCATATATCTTATTTTGAAGTGAAGAAACAAAACGGGAACAAATACAATATTTAAAATGAAGAACAATAAGTAAAGTTAAATCAACAAACTTGCCAGTATTTCAATGGGAACTATGGGCCTGTATTTGGCTAATGAGATGGTCAATGTCCGGTTCCATATTTGTCACTGCTAGTCGTAGCAAGTGATGCAAGTGTGCATCCGTTAGTCTAGATCTGGTTGGAGATTTCAAAGGTTTCATTCTGGAAAAAGTCTGTTCACAGACATAAGTGCTGCCAAAGATGGTGCATGGTTCCTGAGATGAGGATATGTCTCAGAGGGGAGAGATGCATAGAAATTATGAAGGCTGCTTGACTTGAATGCGTCTTTCAGAGTCACAATTCTGCAGTTCAGCCAGTTCCATTTGGTAAATTGTATCCACATTTTCAATGTCAATATAAAATGGGTTACGGAAAAGCTGTATGTCCTGTTCATGGAGATGAAGCTCTTTAAATCTAAATTGGAACTCCTTTTGCAATTTTTCCAGTGAATCCACACATGTTTTGTTTGGGAATTGCAACCAATGTTTTTTCCGCTAACAGATTTTGAGTTGTGGGGAGATGGCAGAAGTTTTCCTCCTTAACTTGTTTGATGAGGAGGCCTAATTTTACTTCAAATGCTTTGACATGTGATTGCATATCACAGATGAGCTTCCCCTTTCCTTGAAGTTGCACATTGAAACTGTTGCGTAGCTCTGTTACATCTGTCAGAAAGGCAAGGTACCATTTCCATTCTGCATCATTGAGCTCTGGTACTTCTTTGTTTTTTGAAAGCAGAAAAGCTGTAATCTGTGGAAGTAAGTCATAGAAACGTTTCAAAACTCTCCCTCGACTCAGCCAACGGACTTCTGTGTGGTACAGAACATCTTCATAGTCAACATTTAGTTCAGACAGAAATTCCTGAAATTGTCTGTGGTTTAGTGCATGAGCTCTAATGAAGTTAACACAAGATTCCACAATTTTCATAACAGAGTCCCACTTCAGTGATTTACTACGCAGCGCTTGTTGGTGGATGAGGCAGTGTATGGCTATTGGATGAGAATGTATGTTTGTCCATCTCTTGGTTAATGCGAGCAATTACTCCTTTCTTAGACCCCACCATGCTAGGAGCACCATCAGTTGTCACACTGGCTAGTTTAGCACAGTTCAGCTCCAAACCATTCACAGTTTGGCAAACTTTTTCATAGATATCCTCTCCTGTAGTTGTTCCTTTGATGCTTTGCAGTGCAGCAAGCTCTTCTGTGACTTCAAAATAGTCATTCATCCCACGAATAAAAATTAGAAGTTGTGCAGAATCACGAACATCATTGCTTTCGTCGAGTGCCAAGGAAAAATAGGAAAATTTTTTGTGGAGTTTTGCAAATGCCGATGCAAATTGTCTCCCATTTCTTAAATCCTCCGTGTAATTGTAGGTCCTGAAAGACTCACTGTACTAAATAAATCGGCCTTCTCTGGACACATCTCTTTGGCAACAGAAAGAAGGCATTCTTTAACAAATTCTTCCTCCACGAATGGTCTGCCAGTGCACGCTATTAGCTTGGCAACTTGAAAACTTGCTCGCAGTGATGAAATATTTAGCTGCTTCTGCTTCACATAAGTATTTTGCTGAGTTGTTAATGCATTTTTCAGTTTTAATATTTTATCTTTTCTCACTTCTCCGACCAAACAATCATATTTATCTTTATGTTGAGTTTCATAGTGTCGACGTAAATTGTATTCTCTGAACACAGACACTATATTCTGGCATATCAGACACACAGCTCTTTCCTTGTACTGCATGAAAAAGTAATCATAAGTCCACCGTTCTTTGAATATCCTACACTCCGAGTCAATTTTTCTCTTTCTTGACATCATTGTTTCCTAGGGACTCAAAATTGCTATTAGTAAAATACCAATATATATACAGCGCTACAAAAACAATATACCAGCAATAACTTTGCCCACACAGAGACATACAGACTGCACTGCCCATCAATGCAGTCTGATTGGGGGAACTCTGCTTTTAACCCAGGCTCACACTGGTGCGGGTGCCATTAAAAAGTGAATTACACCTGCAGTTTTGTTCACAGATCGCAGTACATCCCCAGCACACAGGAATATAACTGGGAGTGGAGCCGAGGGGCAAGTGAGGGAGCTGAGGGAGAGCCAGTCAAGCGCAGCCAGGGGAGGGCTGGCAGCCTTAGGCCTGGGGGGCAAGTCCAGTCAATTGGTCCATTGAACCATTCACCAGCGCAGCCCAATGAGTGCCCACCGCCGCAGCTCAATCAGTGCCCACCGCCGCAGCTCAATCAGTGCTCACCAGCGCAGCCCAATTAGTGCTCACCAGCGCAGCCCAATTAGTGCTCACAAGCACAGCCCAATTAGTGACCATGGGCCGGATAAATGTCCTCGGCGGGCCGCATGTGGCCCGCGGGCCGTAGTTTGAGGACCCCTGTTATAAATAAACGTATTGCCTCCAGTGAAGACTGGGTCTCCATTCATTACCACTACACATATTGTACCAAACAGTATTATTGTGTTATTTAACTTACCTTTGATAATGGTGAACACAAACACGTTTAAAAGTGCAACGATTAATGAATAAACAAATGCATATTATAGGGTACGTAATTTCACAGAGTTAAGCCCTCGCATGTAAACAGCATGGCCGCCAAGGCAGACGGAGAAGGAGCGGCGTCGCGTGGGGAGGTGGGGGGGAACTTTCACACGCTCACGATCCACGCCGCTGCCACGCATCTCTGCTCGTTGTCGGCTAGTACCGTGCTGCAGCTGATCATCTCTGCTCGTTGTCGGCTAGTACCGTTGTCGGCTAGTACCGTTGTCGGGTCGTACCGTTGTCGGCTAGTACCGTTGTCGGGTCGTACCGTTGTCGGGTCGTACCGTTGTCGGGTCGTACCGTTGTCGGGTCGTACCGTTGTCGGCTAGTACCGTTGTCGGCTAGTACCGTTGTCGGCTAGTACCGTTGTCGGCTAGTA